TTTAGACCCTGAAAAAGAGTTGAATTGCAAAGACCAAGATGCAGTATTACGGTATCATGTTTCATGTGCTGTGTAATCAAAGTCAACTTGCCAATAGCATATTTAGCCCAATTGGATTTAGATCTTAAGACCAAAATACTAAATCTTAGAGAAAGTGGCAAGATTATGTCAATAGAGTATGCAAGCAGAGAGAAAAATGGTTGTTTATTCACTACGAGTATCTTGATGAAAACATTCAACAATTCTGTTGCAATGTTACATTTTCCTAATAGTGTGGAACTAACAAAAGGTCTAATAATCCAACATTTTCTTGGACAGAGATTTAAATAACAGTATAAATTACAGAAGGATACAATCATCTCAATCACAGAAGATTAGGAAATAAAAAAGATGAATATACCAGCTGACGCTCACATTCCAACTCCTCAACATCATCTATGTTTTTCTAGTTGAGCTGTTTTCAGATCTGGATTTCTACTCATCAAGTGGGTGGACTGTAGAGCAATCTTGTCAAACAATCATCCTGCAAGCTATTCTTTTGCAGAGTTTCTGCATACAGTTAACCATTGCATTGGTGCTTTGGCTGTATTTATGTATGTCTAAATGTAAGCAAAGTTCTGACGTATTTCTTGGTCTCAAACTTTTCTTACAAATTGCCATGTATTTAGCTCTGTCCATCTTACCATGAATTACCTTACTATGATGCTTCCAGCGCCATGTGTTTTAATGTTGATGGTGTGTTAATTTTGCAGTGCCACCTCAGGTGCCATTGACTATAAAGCTTGATTTACCTCTCATCTAACCAGACCAGCTTATTTTATAACCCTGATGATGTATGCACCTTATCAGCTCCTGGAGGACAGACATGTCTTTAAAGGTTTGAGGTTGTGCAATACTCCTCAGCTGTTCAGATGATGGATGCACTGTTCACCAATAAACTCATGAGGCCTTTACAGGACAACTGCATTTATAATGCAATTTAATGACACAGGTTCACTGAAGTATCTGCAAAAAAAAAAATCACAAGTTTTGCAGTGGATCTTGCATAAAAGCCTCAAACAATACTGGGCTCATACTTACTAGCTGTGGTTTGAACACAATAAATGATATAATATTAATATCAATCTTCATAATATAATGTTGATAAAGACTCAAGTAGTTTCTTTAGTTCGGCTTTTGCTGTGAGAATCTAATGAAGGTCAACTGAGAAAGTCAAGAGAAAAAAAGCTTATAAGTCAGGAAACTATTAATAAGAAGGGGAATTCAGTAATCAAAGTATTCAAAATGATATGTAATGGTATGTAATCAACCTCTACTGAGCTGACCATAAACCTGCCTTCAATGTGTAATCTGACCAAATTCACATAAAAATAAACAATTCTTCAACTAAGCACTATCATAATATTAGAATCTAGCAGGCAAACCATGATAAACTGGTTTGTTCCACATAAAATAAATTACTACTGGTTCAAATTCCAGATAAAACACAAACCTCAAAATAATAAGTTTCGATACAAATAGCATAGCTCAAAAATATGCTACTTATGTGTGCTTATTTTACAATAATTCTCACTGTCAGTAGGAACAGATGGGTGTTGTTTTGGAAGGGCTGCCTAGATAGAACTATTTAACAGAGGACTACAGTTAAATTAACTGGTAGTGGCAAAGGCAGGATGTGGTGATAGGGTCAAGGGTCACAGTGCCATGACAAACAAATGAGCCACCCAGTGAGGAAGTCAACAAGAGATGCTTTCCCTAAAAATCCCCGGCAACAGCAACGGCTGGCAAACATGTGTGCAACAAATGTGCCATCTGAACCAATGACAGAGTCTCTATCATCACCATATGGGGCTGGCACTCAAACAAACCAGAGAGGATTGGAGAACCACGGCAGGGGGTGAGGTGAAACAGGCAAAGCAGAGAGGGTAGCACCAGACACTGTAAATCATAACAAGCCTTATACTGATAAGGAATTTTCAGTACATGTTAAATGGTCTTTTAGCTGCTCTGTTGGATCTGGAATGCTTAAGTTTAGGTAAATGTTATGAGGATTCCCTGATGTGAAAATCATGCTGCTGTTAGTTAGAATGTAATCAGGCAGGTTTTACTGTAGCTTCTACGGTTTCTCTTCAGGGCTTAATGACTGGCAAATCAGTCTTTTGATGGCCCCTTTCTGCCATTATATTGCTCTTAAATCCCATTGTACAAACTTTAACTGTCTGAGAAAAGACACAGGGCTAAACTGGGGGTCCTTATATACTCCTTCTTTTCCCCCAGTGATTCTATAAAGAGAAATCTGATGATCCATCTCCTTTGCCTCTAGATCTACTTTGAATGCACTAATGTTTTCAAGCATTCCTGTTGATTTTCCACACTTTCATTTTATAATTGTATTTGCCTCAACTTTCTGTCTGTCCTCCATCTCAAGCTCTGTTTGTATTTTTCTTTTTCCTCCTCTTCCCCTCGCCAGCTCTGGAAAGTACATTCACTCAGCTCTGCAGTGACACAAGGACCGTCTCCTTCATGGCAGACCACGCTTGTGTTTTTTCAATTAAACTCTGGTCCTCTACATTTGGGAAACCATAATTCTCAGGGTCCTGCAAAAAAGCAGTGGAAAGTAGCTTGGGTTTTTCTTTCTGGGAGAGGTATTGGAAAAACCCGTTTCCTTGAAGCATGTCAAAGTAGAGAGGATGGAGAATAAAATCATAGGAAAGCCATCAAGGAGATTGCAGGAGGTGCTGATAGAAATGGAAGGCTTTGCTGAGGGGCATCGGGGTGCAACAACCCATGGGGCGAGTAGGATGAGGAAGGCGATGAGGGAGAGAATGCATATGGATGGATTTCCCAGGGAATGTGGAAGAAAGTAAGTGAGCCACAGGCCGGATCTGGATTGCCCAGCGGGAAGGAGGACAGATCCACTAAAATCACTTCAAAGTCTGGTGTCACTGGTCTGCAGATGCATCTTGTCAATCTAATTTACAAAGATGAGCCCCAGTACTCCATCTCACCGTTGTGTTTTTAACAGATTTCAGCAGTGAAAATAAACAACTGCTCCACGTGTATGCAATTTAACAGCTTATTCAAAATACAGTGTTACTGTTTTTGATATTGGTACTCATACTGGCCATCAGTTATTAATTAATACTGTAGTTGCTTTAGCAAAGTTAACTCTTAGTAACTAATATAGTATCCATTCTGGCCTGAAGATGGAGCCTCTAATTATGGAGAGAACATCAATTTTAGTAAACAAACATACCCTAAATAAATTATTTGTATAAATGTCTTAAAATTGAAGCAAAATCCAAAAAATAACTAATCCATTCTTAATACCCATAACCCTGCCTTACATTTTGATATAGTAGGAAGATCCAATGGCTTAGGTGAAGACAGTCAAGCACTGGCTTCAAACACATATGTTGACCATGCATACTATTTTTTAGAACATATCAAAATATTATCTAGAATAAGTATTAATTATCCAATATTTAGCTGAACAAATTTGATAAAGAAATTAATATCATTACTAAACTATGTAGACACCAATCCTGCAGGACTAACAGGACTAGAGAGTCTCTCACTTTAAATGCTTTGAAGTGGCTCAAACTGATGGCAGCCTGGACTATTTTCTATTTAACTTAGTTCTCAATTATTTAAACAAATAGACACAATATATATGTATAAATAGCATAGAGGGGCCAAGTGGAGCTGTTCAAGCGAGCCATAAATGTAAAAAAAAAAAAAAGGTAATGTTATTATTGATAATGTATTCAGTTCTAATGTAGTTGTAAATTGGAAAATATCATGTACTTTTTAATACACATATGCAATTTAGATTGGGGATACACGAAGAATTTAGATGTAACACTTGTTTTTCTATATGTCAGAATACATGGGACAGCAGCTCGATTTGTAACTTCCATTTCCAGTGAAGTTACACCAAAACAATCTAAATTCCATTTTACAAGCCTAACCAGAAAATCATATTACGAATGTTACATTTGCTAGCATCTGCACTGACATTGAAAGGCGATTCTAATGAATTGATTTCAAATCCAAAACACAAAATGACCTAAACAGGTGGGACTTAGGTGGTGAGTCACCTTTATTTATTTATATTTCTAAATATGAACACTCCCGGCACAATCTTAAAAAAAAAAGACCAAAGTATGCACTATATAATTAATGAGAATCAAGACGACCTACTGTAACTCACAGGTAAGTTAGTCTAAGCTAACCAAATCTTGATATGATCACTTTTCTTCCAGCTGTGAACTTGCTGAGCTAATGCTTCACAACCAGTTTCTAATTATTCTTAATGAAACATGACAAGTACTCAACTTCTATCAGGATGACCACAGAGAGAGGGGCAGTTATAGTTATCTCTAAAAACTTCCTCTTGTAGTTGTGGTGTCCCTCATCCACCACAAAAAGAAAAGAGAAAAACAAATAAGAGGCATCTGTGTTTAGAAAATGTGGAAAAGAATAAGGATTCACTGGACAAGAAAGTAAATAATTGCCACATCTGGCTGTTTAGTTTTTTTAGAGTGATTTCTTTTACTGATCCAATTCAAAGGAAGCAAACTGTCCCAGACAAGACTGCAAGTGGATCATATGCAGACATTTGTTATATCTCATAAAGTCTGGTACTAGGGAATGACTTACTCAACCTTTAATTGGTACCAACGTTCTTGGCTTATTATCTCATCTCGACATCCTTTTTCAAGTATGTCAAAATTTCCCTCTTTAAAACGGCAGTCAAATCTTTCACTGTCAAACCTAAACTAAGAGAAGTCATAAATCAATGTTCACATGAGAATGGATGGATGAATGTGAAGAGAACATAAACACAAACACATGAGTATTAAAAGTGGGAGTGACTTCTACTGTACAGCCCCAATATACCCGTACCTCTCTCATGCCCCCACCTTAGCAAACAGCAAGACAGACAGCAAAGGAGAGCACAGACAGAGTCACAGGAGCATTAAATAAGGAAGTCTTACCTTAAGGGTTTTTCTGTAAAGCCAACACAAGCAAAAGACTCATGATTGTAGCCGTTTGTCTCAGTCTTTTCCTCCTTGTGTCATTTAGGTACGGCAGATGGGAGCTGGGACGCATAAACGCCACTGAGTGGAGACGTATTCGGCACACTTTACAGACAGGGAGGGCTGTGGAGCAGCACAGACCCCAGGCCCGTCCGCTTACACTCTGCCGTCTGAGGATGAAAAGAGAAGACTTCATTACCACACAGGACACGCCTCCACCCCTCAGGTCTCCCTCCTTCAGATCCCCCCCCTCCATCCCTTCTCTCCTCCTAAACCACCTCCCGGTTTCCCTTCCAAACTCCCAGGCAGTAGCACGCTCCAGGGGCTGCCCCAACCAAAAAAAAGGCGTTGCAGACTGCCAAAAAAAAGAAGAAAAAAAAGAAAGAAAAAGAAAACTCCCATCCAAAAGTCTACCAGCGCAGAGTCCAAGGAAGTCAGATATGGACACAAAAGGATCTAGACAGTGAAGAAACAAAGAGGCAGCATTTATCACTGCACCTACAAAATACAATTCGAACGCAATAACCTTTTAAAAGTAATTTAAAAGTGAAAAAAAGGCAGGAGATGATAATATAAAGTTTAAAAAATCCAGAAAACAGGATGGAGAGAAATAACCATCTCTTTAGAGGAAGGATATAAAATAAGACATAGGCAGACAAAAAGAGAAAAAGACACACGCAGAGACAGAAGATCAATTAAGAAGTTTCAAAGCATTAAGTTAAAGGGTAAAAAAAAAGCCATTTACAACCTGAGGTTGTTGTAAATTCTAATTATGACTTTCTGTGAGAGAAATCACATCAAAAGAACTTTGCTCACGGGTCTTCAGCACTTGTGTCTGTTTTGGTTTCATGGGGTGGGGATGCTGTCTGTTTCTACAGTATGTGCTTGTGCATCTATAAACCTAAATTTACTTCAACTTTTTGCAAGCTGCTTTCATGGACAACACCCAGAATAAAGTTTCAAAATCTCTGTCCATTCTCTGTTGGACACAAACACAGAAGTTCAGTCTCTCCACATAAGATAGGGAACATTGACTTAAAAACATTATAATCCCTCTATCTGTTATTTTGAGGGGACTTGAGTTTTAATGGTTAATAGGACAAAACAAAGCCTTAAAGTTCCAGCTCTGCCTTTTTATGCATCAACTACTATAGCATGAACAATTTGTACTAAATTCTAAGACAATGCATATACAATTATGGTCATTTGCAGCACTGACTTCAGATCTGACCTTATTTTAAGGTATAGTATAGTCTGTGATGATTAACCTTTCACAACACCATGCAGCTTCTCTGTTTGCATCCATGGAGATTCCCTTATCTAAATGTGCCAAATGCTCGGATTAACTCCAACTGACAGAAGCCCTACTTACTGTAGCTTTTAATTAATTCAGTAAACAATGAAGCTAAATGTTAACGAATATTACAGTGTTAAAGGCCAATTTTAAGTATCCAAAGAAACATAGCCCTGTATGAGAAAGCTCTTTTTCCCCATCTGAAAACATGTTGTGTCACCACCCATGTAAGCAATGAAGTTCAAATCACTATGGAGAGAATTTGGCCCCGTTTCTTTGAAGAACAGTTTGAATCCATTTACGGCAGACTTTCAAGAATGTCATGTTACTATTTGGATCACATTTAATTCCAGACTTATGATAGCTATTCTATAATCATCAGTGTTATGTTTTTTTTTTTGTGTGTGTATTTTAGATCATTGCCTTTATGCATAACACTCTGACTGCCACAAATTCTACATAAGGATTTTCTTGTATAGATAAAATGTCCTGGTTCCATCAGTTATGACAAGTTGTCCAGGTCTTGAAACACTAAAGCACTACCAGTCTGCAAAACATATATATTTTTTTATTCTTACGCATAATCTTGATTTTGATTTATTTAGTTAAAAATTCTTTGACTATTTTGGTAAGATTTAGATTCTAGAAGTTTCCTCCCTAGATTCTCCTTATAAATGAACATACAACTGGATGGCAAGCCCCAGAGAAAAGGTAACATATCCCAATGCATTAGAACACTCAATGGTAGAACCCTTATCCACTTACAGCCAGTGTGGAAAAGTGAGCTCTCTCCACTGGAAGGAAAAATATGCCCTAAAGCATTAGCCATTTACTGTCTGTAATTATGAGACGCTGGGTAGAGTCAGCTTAGGCAACCTCTGCACCCTACCCCCAGTGCCACTACACATAACCCTACTTCCCAGTATGAGGTAGGTTGTGGAACTGAAAGTGGCAGTCTTAAGATTTTAGCAAATTACAGCATAAGTTTCAAAGTGCACTGCAGCTCATTGACTAGGACTGGCAAGCATTAAAGTTCAAAGTAGCATTTTTCCAAAAAATCTGGTATATGTTGCAGATCAAACCCCAGTTTACATTATGTGAGCTAAACCTTGATCCGGATGGAAAATGTTTAGAGACATCACCACATCACTAAATCAATCATGACTTCTAACTGAAGAACAGAGTTGTAGTTTTTTGACTGCTTCTTAGGGGCAAGCAAGAAGTAGAAGAAAACAAATGCTAAAACATAAAGAGTCTTAACAAAGAACAAAGAAAAAAAGACAAAAGATCCCAGAGAAGCACAGAGGGATTGGCAGAATGAAGTTCAGCATGGAGTAATAAAACAGCAGCATTTTTCTGGGCAGCACATATTGAAGTAAGCAGGGTTTATACAGATCTCTGGCAGCCTCCCACACTAACATTAACACCTACACAGACCCTCTCTGTGGCATAATGGTGTCAAATTTACACAGGTCCACTAAACAGTACTTAAGGTTATGGACTGCCTCTCTATAGGCTGGGGTTTGAAACAAACAGCTGGAGCAGTTTTTGTGGAGGAATCACAAAGAAAGGAGAGACTAACGAATTTTAGCGTGTTTTATTGGTAACATTAATACCAATTCTGCAAAAACCAGAAACACAGAAAGCCCTCATTATAGCGTGACTTTTAATCAAGGGATTTTTGTGAGAAGAAAATACCAAACATCAGAAAACAGTTTTTTGTTTACGGCTCACAAATAACCCAATGCTAATTACTGTTACAATAGTTAATGGAAAAAATGACAAAAATGGATTGATACAAAATAGAAAGATGGCGGGTGTCGATAGTGTTTTTATTGCAAAGAAAGTTGGTGGTGAATCAGCATCTAAATAAGGATATAGATCTATGGTTTAATTTACCATCTTCCATACTAACCACTATGGGCTGTAGAATATTAAGTTACAGGCTTACTTTCTTTTAGCCAGAAGGGTTATTAAATAAAGAGGGAGATTTAAAAATCTGCATTCTTTCTGCCATTAAATACAGTGTAGTTGTTCGACCCCTTACACATAGAGATTTGGTTCTGGAGCAGATCAAGGGATTGGACTCGGGGGGCCATTGCCACCCTTAACCAATCAGTGGTTAACCCTGTGACCATCCCTACCAGGTTATGTATTGCTCCAATGTGGACATACCATAATCAACTCCCTATGAAACAAGCAGTTCCACTCTGAACCAGAGGGTGACAGCAGTGATACTTTCAAGTAGAATATCCTGATTATTTTACTATATTGTTAGTTGTTTAAACATAAAATAACTACAGAAATAACTAATTGTTCAAATCAGTATGCCAACATAAAGGATGTCAAACACATAATTCATGCTCTGTTTAGAACTAGTTTTTATGTTCTATGATGGAGAACAACAAGCCAGATGTCTCTGCTGTCATTTAGAAAGAAGGAGATCATCATCGACTTCAGGAAGAACCGGCCTAACCACGCTCCACTGCTCATCAACAGCTCAGCTGTAGAGGTGGTAAGCAGCACCAGATTTCTGGGGGTGCACATCACAGACAACCTCACCTGGACTGTAAACACCACATCACCTGTCAAAAGGGCACAAAAGAGCTTGTATTTCCTGCAGAGGATGAGGAGAGCCCACCTGCCCCCACCCATCCTCACGACCTTCTGCAGAAGCACCATAGAGAGCGTTCTGACCAGGTGTCTCACTATGTGGTGTGGAGGCTGCAGCGCCTCAGACTGGAAAAAAAGTGAAAAGAGAAGTGAGAACAGCAGAGAGGATCATCGGGGCTTCTCTTCCCTCTATAAAATACATTTCATCCCAGCGCTGCGTGTCCCAAGCCCGTAACATCATCAATGACCCTTCACACCCCCAAAATGGACTATTCTCCATGCTGCCCTCTGGGAAAAGGCTTCGCAGCATTCGAGGCGGTTCCAGCAGTTTCTGCAACTCTTTCTTCCCTGCTGCCATCAGACTGCTGAACTGTTGAAAAGACTCTGCATCACACCGATAACAAGAAACCAAAAATACTGCATATTTGCACCATATATATTAATACTCTGAACTTCCATCTCAATCCATTTTTTTGCACAATGTTTTTTCTCCCAAACTGTTTACATTTAATCACTGCTGCACTTTATGGAATGCACGTGTTCATTTACTGCCTGAAAGCTGTACTAAACGAAATTTAATTTTGAATAAACTCTGAATAATCAGAGGTTAATATAACTACTCAAACAATTTGTTATGAATATTATGCAGAAAAATACATTTTTAATTCAAAAGCATTAAATTTTAAATATGTGTCTATATATGTTTAGGTTTATAAGCAAGGGTAGCATTAAAATCTGACCTGTCTTAAGTGATTTATTTGGAATATACGGATGTTGTAGTCATCATTGTCCTGTTGGTACAATAAGAATGGTATAGACAAAACTTGGTTTTGACCAAAATCAGTGCACACTGTTCCCTGCTTGGCTACTTCTATGAAAATGTTCAGGTTGTGCCACTGATCTGGATATGTTGGAAAGTAGTGCTCCAAGTAAAGGAGAAATAAACACATCTTTATATTTGTGATTGATTGGACACCAAATAAGTTGTACATGTTCAGACTACAGTTCAAATGCAAAATGTATATGACACATTGTGAAACAAAATACCTGGCAACATATTAAGCATTAAGGAGGGATGCTGTAGGACGAAGCAAGCAACTACAAGTCTTAAAGCTCCTACAGTATGTGAACTGCTCAGAGTGATCAGCAGAAATTTCTTTTTTTCCTGAATGCACTTGCTGGGAAATGAACATGTGACAAATGTTACACAAAAATATGACCAACTGAAGTCTTACTGAAAATGCCTCTGTAATTTCAATTGCC